TACTGCACCACAGCAGCCAATGGACAAAAGGGAGAAGACAAAAGAAGAGCCAGGGCCCAAGCGGATTAAAAAAGAAGAAGCCAGCACCACCTGACGACACGCGAGGCAAGAAGCATAGAACCGCGAAACTGCATCACGCAGGATGGGCGCGAAGAGTTTCAAGAAAGCAGACGACGCCTGCACCTCAGAGGGCAGCGCACCGGACCCGGCAGCGGCCCCAAGCGCCCCTACATCCAACTCAAGCCAATCCGAGGACAGCTCAAGGAGGGAAAAGAAAAGCAGGGCTGAAGCAAGCAGGCCACTAGCTCGCAACTCCTCCGCAACCAAGGCAGCCGAAAGGGAAGGAACCTGCACGTGAAGTTGCACGACACCAACATCCCGCAGAAGGGCAGGAGCGAACAAACAAGCAGTAAGATGCTAGAAGTCGCTCCCCAGGAAAACCTGGAACGCCGTAGAAGTCTCTCGCCACTCAAGCGCGCGGGACCGATAGAACGTGTGCCAAGCCTCCAACGAAAAGAGAGGACAGTCTGCCAACCAGGACGAATCTGGAACTCCATAATGAACCAGAAGATCCGTACACAAAGGAACGCGGATACATCACAAAAGCATAATCCGGGTTGCGCAGGAAGTAAGCCGCCAAGGCTTCCCGCACCTCCGAAGATGAAACACGGGAAGCAGGAAACCTCTGGAAAGACGGAACCGAAGAACCGTCTTTTCTACCCCCACCTGGGTAGAAAAGCCCAGGCGGGGTCCAATGGGACCCAAGGCCCCCAAGCCAACCCCTCCCCAACCCCAGGAACCTCACCCTGAGGACCTGGGGCCGAGCCATCCTCCTGAATCCCCACCTCTAAAGAAAAGACGTGAGCAGCCGAAAAAGCAGGAACGAAGGGGGTCCACTGGCCAGACCCAGAAGCTCCGGTAGAAGGACCAGGTTCGAATGCCTACACCGCAGCCCCAGAAGGAGACACCCCCGAGACTGCCCGAGTCTCCAAACCAACTAAACCCTACCCTGATTCAGAACCAGCGCCCAATCTACCAACAAAACTTCTATAGCTAAACCCCCAGGACGTGTACACTCACGAGGGCCAAGGAGGGGTGGACCACCAAAACAAGGTAGATGGATACAATAACCCCAAAAACAGAGAAAGGGGACAAGGGCAGACCCCTCCCCGCCACCAGGCGAAAAACAAGAAAAGAAAAACCTCGCAAGAGGACAACATACCCGGGTGGAACAGAACCGGCCGCTGTTATTGGGGAAAACTAGCTGTGCAGTACCCTGCGCCCCTGCCAGTGACGAAAACTACCCCCTACCCAGAGACAAACAAGGGCAAGAAAAAAAACAGCTGACCCCCAAGGGCGGCCAAATACCGAGCAGTAAACAGCTCAGCGGAGGTAGATCCCGAGGTGACTTGTGGAAGGTGGCACCAAGCCCCAAGGGCAGTACTTACAGGGCACCTAGGGAAGGAAACCCTAGGAGCATGCAGCCCGAGTACCATAGAGTATCACTCCTGGCCCACTCACCACTGGAAGGGACAGCTCACACCACAAGGCCAGAACTGTAACAAAACACTGGAGCCAGAGGCACGACTGCACCAGACTCCCATCAGCCAAGAACTGTAGGATGGGTCGCTGGCGGTTAGGTCTGGGGCTGCTCCTTCCCCCTCCAGGGGGGGGGGGATGTGCGCAGACAGCGGCACAGCAACGTGATGGCTGGTTGACACCTGGTTGAGGGGGTTCTGGGAGTTCTTCTACTCCCCATGCCCGGCCCGAGGCCAGGCTTGACTTGTGAGAGTTTGGTCCACTAGGCTGTTGCTTGCAGCGGCCCGCAGGCCCACATACCCACCGCAGCCCAGTTGGCAGCCCAGTTGGTTTCCTCCAATGTACTTGGAAACTATCTAGTTTCCTCTTGAAAATGTCCACGGTTGTTCCGGCAATATTTCTTATACTCGCTGGGAAGATGTCGAACAACCGTTCAACAACAATGACATTATGCTCGTTTGCTAGTTTTTGTTTGGGGCGTTCTGTCCTCTTGTTCGGTCTTCGGTCGCGATAGTTTTACCAGAATAGGGGTTTGTTTTGGGGCGCCTACCTTTCTGGGTACCTATTCCGGTGGATGGCAGACATAGAATGCTCCCAATAATAAAGGGCGGGTCTCTATAGGCCATTGCTCCTCGTGCCACTCTAGAGGGGACCAGGTTCTGGCTCGTGGTCCCCGGTAGGCATGAACTCCATGCATTGACTGATGCCAGAAAGTTATATCCATTCAGCCTGGATAGCTCTGGGGGAGCCGACGGGGCTCCCCCCCAGAAAGTAAATTTAACAATTTACAACCATTACTTAGGTGACTGCCTATCATTGTAAAAGTGAAAACCAAAAAGTATAGCATTTGATTTTGAAATATACTGTAATGCCAACAGTTTCAACTCTTCCTCATAATAATAAACTAAAATGTTTTTACAAATGAATCCAATGTACTAATGTATAACCTAAAATTTAACTCCTTAATGAAATCCTATTGTTGTAAATTATGTTTCATGAACTTTTAAATACAGGTTTTGGTCTTATCTTCTGATATATTGATACAAGAAGCAATCATTAAACTCATAATTTGTATTACTGTATTTAAACTGCTGGTTTTAGCTTGGAAATGCTGGATATACTATATATTCAAAAGCTATATTTATACTGTATAATAAATATTATGTAATGTTTTTGTTTAATAAATCATTTGTCAATTTAGAAAAAGCTACATGCAAAGTAAACTCTTCTTGTGGCATCTTGCTCCAAAATGATCAGCCTATCACAGTGGGAAACTGGGCAATGGTGAAGGCAAACAAACATTGAACAAATATACTTTACACCTGCTCAACATAATCAAACCACCTCTTTCTAGTTTGAAGTCAAGATATGTTAGATATGTTAGTTTCAAATATAACTAATAAATTATAAACAAACAAATGTAAGAAACTGGATAATACTAATGGAAATATGTAACTTGTAATGAATTAAATGTTACCCCAATAACCTAGCATTGAATGTAATGAAATGCCATTTTCTGGGCTAGCCCCAGAGGCTCCCTGAAGCTATCCAAATTGGCATGTGCCATATTACTTTGGTGTCATCAGTCATGGGAGTTCTGTATGCCCACCGGACACCAGAGCCAGAACCTAGGTCCCCTCAGAGAGGTGCAGGGAGCACTGGCCATTATGAGCACTCTTCATTTAGAGTATGTCATGTCTGCCATCCACCTGGGAGGCCACCCACAAAGATAGGTGAACCAATACAAACCCCTAACTGGTAAGAATTGCAACCTATGTCTGAACACAGCCAAAGAACTTCCCCCAAAGAAAAAAAAACAAAAACAAGCATATCATCATCATCCAACAAGCGTGCTTGCTCAATACCACCTCCCCCCCCCCCGATGGGGGGAGGGGGCGCTATCACAGTCAATCATGATATAATTAATACCGATATCTGCTCAGGCAAACGGGCAGCTCACCACCTCAGTTCATAGAATGATGAAAACCGCCGACCGGAGGGAGGGAGGAAGGGAGGGGTGTCAAGGAGCCTCCGGGGCTTGCCCAGAAAATGACGTTTCATCGCATTCAATGCTGATTTTCTGTGGGGAGTCCCATTGGCTCCCTTAGCTAACTACCCACAGATAAGCAAAAGAGGGACTTACCTCTAAGCGGAAGCCCCGCAGGTCTCAAGACAAAGTCGAGACACCAGGCCGTGACAGACATCCCAAAGCTAAACAAGGCTGGAGCGGGCTTAGTACCCTACCCAACTTAGGGTACCCAATGTACCCTAAGCACATGCAGCCCAGGGTACTGAGAACTCCTGGCCAACTCACCACCACATACAACTGGCACAGCCACAAAGGCAAAATCCAAACAGGAAAGGGAGGCCAGAAGTTACGTCTTAACACCAGGCACATCAGTCAAGAACTGGGGTGGTGAGCCGCCTGCTTGCCTGAGTGGGCTCCCCCTCCCCCCTTTCAGGGGTTATCATGAGATGATTTCGGGGCTTAGTGTCCCCGTGGCCCGGTCCTCTACCAGGCCTCCACCCCCAGGAAGCAGCCCATAGCAGCTGTCTAACTCCCAGGTACCTATTTACTGCTAGGTAACAGGGGCATTAGGGTGAATGAAACATTTTGCCCATTTGTCTCCACCTCTACCGGGGATCGAACCCGGAACCTCAAGACTACGAATCCGAAGTGCTGTCCAGCCAGCTGTCAGGCGCCTCAGGGAAGGGGGGGGGGGGTGCTAATGAGCAGGTGCGCAAATTGGATGACGATTTACTTGTTTGTTTATTTTTTTTGGAGGGAGTTCTTTGGCTGTGTTCGGATGTAGGTTGCAATTTTCACACGTTGAGGGTTGGTATTGTTTGCCTATCTTTCTGGGTGCCTTTCCCAGTCAATGACAGACTTGACATACTCTAAATGTGGAGTGCAAAAATGGCCATTGCTTCCTGCGCCGCTCTAAGGGGACCACGTTCTGGCTTTGGTCTGCAGTAGGCATACAGAACTCCCGTGACCAATGACACCAAACTGGGAGTAGGTAGGTAGTTTCTGGGAGCCACAAGGGACTCTACCGAGAAAATTTTAAATTATATTCCCTTATTATTTTAAATTACAGTATGCCCAAAATATTGTGCATAATTAGAGGCATTATATAATATACAATTACTGTACTGTACCTACTAAGTAACCACTGTAACATGTTCCTTTGTACATCTGACAAATAATATAAATAAAAAAATATAAATAAAAATGACAGTGCTAAAAAATCTGCCTGGCTTGGTGCCTTCTTTTGATAATTACTTACATACTTCCTTGTAAATAAAATACTGCTATTACTTCATTATTACAGTATTATTATTATTATTATTATTATTATTATTATTATTTACAAATAAGATTCCACATCCCACACTAACGTCATGCAACTTTAAAAAAAAAGTCTTGAATAATAAATTACTATAATAATAAACAATCATACCATTTGTCTAATTCTATGAAAACTTTTGCCATGAAACTGGAAGGCTTGTTCAAAAAGAACTTTATCTTCCGTGGTCCACTCATCTGGGAAGGGTGTAAAGTTTGCGAGGTCTGCGGTTGCCTTCTCGAGGTCGTGGCGGTGCCAAAACAACATGCCGAGAGCTTGCTCGGCATTATACCCGTATTTATCTTTCGCTAGCCATATGTACTGTTCAACTGGGGGGAAAAAAAAGTCAAATAAGATGCTAAAATCAAATAAGATGTTAGTCTAATTAATAATATTAATAAGACAAATATCAAGGACATGACATTTATTTAGTGTAGGGAGCCACCCTCAGACTACTGCCTAGGTTACTAAAGTACTTTATTCATATTTAGATAATGACAGGTGGAAAAAAAATACTTAAATATTGTTCCATATAATAATACCATGTACAGTAATTTAAAAGAAATACTGTATTTGCATGAATGTAAGCCACCCCAATGTAAGTACCAAGGTGAATTTTTGGACATATAGTACATTATATCATACAAAAATGATTGGCCTATCAGTTATAACCTACACCTTGAAATTGTCATTCAAAATCATATTCAAACTTACTCTTAATGCAAGAGATACCTATAGTAGAGTACTGTTATATGGCTGCTTAAAAAGATAGCTTTTATTGGCTAAGTTCTTTTTTAAAATTATTATACACAGGTTTTTATAATTACAGTAAAGAAGTTACTGTAATTATATGCAAGTTACGGGACAGAGTATTTATTTCATTTAAATATCTGGGACTTGCATGAAAATGCTGAAGTGTTGGGAGCCCAGGAGTAATTCTGCACTGTCCATACCAAGACCTTGACTGTTGTAGTCTCTCGAATAGTGAGAATGCTTCCCAAGATTGCCATTTGCAAATTTATCATTATGAAAAAAAAAAAAAAAACAGCGTTGAATGTAACGAAATACAATTTTCTGGGTGAGACCCGGAGGCGCTCCCGGAGCTATACCGGGCTAATGTGTATATACAGTATTAGCCTGTGGCAACAGTCAATCAATGGAGTTCTTCGCCAACCGGGGACCACGAGCCATAGGAAAGGTAGGAATACCAAAACAAACTACAGCTGGTTAAAAATTGCAAACCAAAAGCCGAACGAGCGAACAGAACTCCCCAATCAGAAAACATGCATGACATCACCATAACCGCCACACTGCTGTCTACACCGTTTTCCTCTCCCCAGGAGGGGGGGAGGGGAAAGGGGGGCCCTAGACCTTCCACGTCAGCTACCCAACCCCAGTTCAGAAGCTGAATATCCAAACGCGAAAAAAAATGGCAACCAGAGGGAGGAATGCCAGGGAGCCTCCGGGTCTCACCCAGAAAACAGCGTTACATTCAATTACATTCAATGCTGGTTTTCTGTGGAGAGACTACCTAACCAAACAAAAAGTAAAAAAGGGACTTACTCGGGAAGCAACTGCCACTTGCTTCTTGACTCAGTCAAGACAACTGGCTGCAACCTGCGACCCAAGGCAACACATACCTGAGAGGAACGAAGAACATTAACGAGGTACCGTGCGGCCAGGACCCTGCTCGACCTCCAAAATCTCCATACCAAATGTCAGCCAGGACATATGACCAAAAACAACAGTCAAAGCCTCAAATTTACGAATGTCGTGGGCATGGGGATAGACCGCAGGCTGGCTGGACTGAATAATCCTGCGGACGACCTGGGAGACCTGGAGCAAGGAAGGGAAACCGGATCAACCCACAGCACGTCCCCTGCCAGAGGCCATGGCAGGGGGGCATTGCATGGCACGCAAGTAATAGATGAAGAGTTGCAACTGAACACAAAACATGATGCACACACCCAGCCAAACCAACCAAACAACAACCCACAGACCCCTCCGGAAAGCAGCAGTCTCATTCTTCGCCAGAAAAGAAGACGGCTGTAAACAAAATAACCACCAGGATCGAAAGAGCAGAAACCGTTGTGCCGGAGGAGAGCATGAAGCTCCGACTCCCAGAGGTCAATGCCAACAAGAGCCTTAGAAAAGCAGTCCTGAACCGAAGGGGTCACCACAAACTTTGGAAAAGAGAGCACTTGGTCCAGTAACCAGGATGGCTCAGGCGGTGCATGAGCAGGCCGGAGGTAAACCAATGTCCGAGAAAGTTGTGGAACAGAGCAGAAGTGACATCCATCCCAAATACAATATCGTGTGGGGGCCAGGTAACCTGGTGGATAGCACACAGGACTCTTTAATTCTATGGCGCGGGTTCAATTCCCGCACCAGGCAGAAACAAATGGGCAAAGTTTCTTTCACCCTGAATGCCCCTGTTACCTAGCAGTAAATAGGTACCTGGGAGTTAGTCAGCTGTCACGGGCTGCTTCCTGGTGTGTGTGTGTGTGTGTGTAATTACCTAAGTGTAATTACCTAAGTAGTTACAGGATGAGAGCTACGCTCGTGGTGTCCCGTCTTCCCAGCACTCTGTCATATAACGCTTTGAAACTACTGACGGTCTTGGCCTCCACCACCTTCTCACTTAACTTGTTCCAACCGTCTACCACTATTTGCGAAGGTGAATTTTCTTATATTTCTTCGGCATCTGTGTTTAGCTAGTTTAAATCTATGACCTCTTGTTCTTGAAGTTCCAGGTCTCAGGAAGTCTTCCCTGTCGATTTTGTCAATTCCTGTTACTATTTTGTATGTAGTGATCATATCACCTCTTTTTCTTCTGTCTTCTAGTTTTGGCATATTTAATGCTTCTAACCTCTCCTCGTAGCTCTTGCCCTTCAGTTCTGGGAGCCACTTAGTAGCATGTCTTTGCACCTTTTCCAGTTTGTTGATGTGCTTCTTAAGATATGGGCACCACACAACAGCTGCATATTCTAGCTTTGGCCTAACAAAAGTCATGAACAATTTCTTTAGTATATCGCCATCCATGTATTTAAATGCAATTCTGAAGTTAGAAAGCATAGCATAGGCTCCTTGCACAATATTCTTTATGTGGTCCTCAGGTGATAGTTTTCTATCTAGAACCACTCCTAGATCTCTTTCTTTATCAGAATTCTTTAAAGATTTCTCACATAATATATAGGTTGTGTGGGGTCTATGTTCTCCTATTCCACATTCCATAACATGACATTTATTAACATTAAATTCCATTTGCCATTAAATTCCATTTGCCAAGTGGTGCTCCATATACTTATTTTGTCCAGGTCTTTTTGAAGGGCATGACAGTCATCTAAATTTCTTATCCTTCCTATTATCTTAGCATCATCAGCAAACATGTTCATATAATTCTGTATACCAACTGGTAGATCATTTATGTACACAATAAACATCACTGGTGCAAGAACTGAACCCTGTGGTACTCCACTTGTGACATTTCTCCATTCTGATACATTGCCTCTGATTACTGCCCTCATTTTTCTATCAGTCAGAAAATTTTTCATCCATGATAGAAGCTTACCTGTCACCCCTCCAATATTTTCCAGTTTCCAGAACAACCTCTTATGTGGAACTCTGTCGAAAGCCTTTTTTAGGTCCAGATAGATGCAGTCAACCCAACTATCTCTTTCCTGTAATATCTCTGTGGCTCGATCATAGAAACTGAGTAAATTCGATACACAGGATCTTCCAGATCGAAAACCATACTGTCTGTCTGATATTATATCATTTCTCTCTAGGTGTTCTACCCATTTAGTTTTGATTAGTTTTTCCAATACTTTCACTATTACACTTGTCAATGATACAGGTCTATAATTGAGGGGGTCTTCCCTGCTGCCACTTTTGTAGATTGGAACTATGTTAGCCTGTTTCCACCCGTCTGCTACGATTCCTGTACACAGGGATGCCTGAAAGATCAGGTGAAGTGGAATGCTGAGCTCAGATGCACATTCTCTCAGAACCCATGGTGAAACGCCATCTGGGCCAGCTGCTTTGTTCTTACCGAGCTCCTTGAGCATTTTTTCCACTTCGTCTCTAGACACCTCTATGTGTTCTATGTTGTTCTCTGGAATTCTTATTGTATCTGGTTCCCTAAAGATTTCATTTTGTACAAACACACTTTGGAACTTTTCGTTTAGTGTTTCACACATTTCCTTTTCATCTTCCGTGAATCTATTTCCCATTTTCAACCTCTGAATATTATCCTTTACCTGCAATTTGTTGTTTATGAATTTATAGAATAGACCTGGTTCTGTTTTACATTTGTCCGCAATCCCTTTTTCAAAATTTCTTTCTGCCTCTCTCCTCACTGCCGTGTAGTTGTTTCTCGCATCTTTGTATCGCTGGTATGTTTGGGGGTTCGGCCTCTTCCTGTATTGATTCCATTTTTGTGTCTTTCGGTCTCTAGCCCTCTCGCAATTTCTATTGAACCAATCCTGTTTCCTAGTTCTGCATCTCTGTTTTGGTATAAATTTTTTTGTGCCTTTATCATATATTTCACAAAACTTGCCATACATCTCATTCACTTCCTTGCCTAGCATCAAGTCTGTCCAATTATACTCACTAAAAAAATTTCTAAGGTCACCATAATGTCCTCTCCTGAAGTCTGGTTTTTCAACTGCTTCAACCTCCTTATTTTCTTCCAGCTTATAACGCATTGCATACTTTATTCCCAAAAAGACATGGTCACTTTTACCCAAGGGAGGAAGGTACTGAATGTCAAATATCTCTTCCTCCTTCCTGGTAAATATCAAATCTAGCATGGAGGGAACGTCCCCTTCCCTCATCCTCGTAGCTTGTTTAACATGTTGATACAAGAATGTTTCCAGGATGAGGTCTACAAATTTACAGGTCCAAAAATCTTCTGTTTTAGCTTCATATGCTTCCCAGTCTATGGATTTCAAGTTGAAGTCACCGACTATCAACAGTCGTGATCTATCGTTATCCGCTCTCGCTATAATCTCTCTCATTATTGTTATAAGACCTTCACGTTTACTATCTAGCTCCTCCTTTGACCATGTGCTGCTTGGCGGTGGACTATATGCATTTATCATCATTAGTTTATCATCCTCATAGCAGATCTCTAGTGCTATTATGTCAACTTCTTGTGGATTGGCAGTCATTATTTCCTTCACCTTTAGGTGTTCTTTTACCAGCACAGCAACGCCACCGCCTTTCCTAATTTTTCTGTCCCGTCTCCAAATTGAGTAGCCCCTTGGGAATATGACCTCATTTAAAATTACATCTTCAAGTTTTGTCTCCGTGAGTGCAACAATGTCTG